CGGATTCGAGTTCCTTAGACGTGGGGCGATCTAGCGGACATACATGGATCACATCTATGACGTTGTCCGGCTCCTCGGTCGGGACAGGGGTGCGTCTCTCTTCCGGCCTGGGCTCTATGTATTCTTTTAAGCATTCGTCTCGGACCAATCTTTCCAAGAAAGATTTGTATACCCTGCAGCTTTCGGTGCGATGGCCAAAATCCCGGTGATAGGAACACTTGACCTTTTGATCACGGGTGGAGGGATCGCTTTGCATCCTGGGCGGCCACTTGAAGAATGACTCATGCTTGATCTTATGGAGCAACTTGTAGATGGGTTCCTTGAATATAGTGTGAAATCCCGGTAGCAGTCCCTTTCGGGAAGTGTCCTCCCGCTCCCTCTCTTTGTTTTGAGGTTGGAGGGTCCTATATTTGCGGTTTCCCATCTCGTCCTCGATTCTAGAGTACTTGTTTATCCGGGCCATCAGCTCGCCCATATCTGAGAGAGTCTTTTTGGTCAGGGATCGGTACAGGTCCGTGTCCCTTGCCAAGCCGAGCCTGAAAGACGCAGCTGCCATGACTTCTGATTAGCCTTCTACCTCATTAACCTCTTCCCAGTACCAGATGGCGTACTGGCGAAGGGTCTCGAATTCCCTTCGTCTGAGTGTCAGTAATGATCCGACGTCTTTAGGCCACTTACTCCCCGTAATGAATCGGGCTAGGAACTGCCTCGTCAGCTCCTTTCATAATCCAATGTTGTTGGGGGGAAGAGCCTCCAACCACTTCATCGCGGAGTCCCCCAAGCTCATGGGAATCACTCGGCAGAGGACCCGTTGGTCTGAATGATACAGGGACATCATTTGCTTGTATTGCCTAAGGTGGGCTTCGGGATCGGACCGTCCATCGTAAGTTTTGAACCTCGGCACGATGAATTTTTTTGGAACATCCATCTCTGCGACATCCCTGGTAAAGGGTGATCACATGATCTCGTCTTCATCATCATCTTGGACAGCCTTATCCTTTCTCCTGGATTCCAATCGAGCTCTGAGATCAACTTCCTCCCCAACGGGATGTCTTCTAAAGACTCCGAGTTCATCAATAGGTCCCCCATTTCCTGGATGACGTGTGGATAGGGTTGAATCCTTCTCAGACTCATCTCCTTTCCTCCGTCTTAACAATCCTCGCCGAAGGTTGTCCAGGGCTAAAGGCCTTACCTTCCTGAAATAGTCGTTAAGAGGGTGCTCGTTGGCTCTCGGTCGCTTTGGGGTCCTGTAGCTTTCTGCCTTGTTATTTAAATGATTCCTCAGATCCTTCGTTTCTGCCTCCCAGGCGGGGAGTCCACGAGAAAGAAATGAGTCCCCCGACCCTTCGCCAGAGGCGGCGAATTCGTTGAGCCGGCTTAGGACGTTCACATTGTCTTTTTTCAACTGTNTCGTCTGAGTGTCAGTAATGATCCGACGTCTTTAGGCCACTTACTCCCCGTAATGAATCGGGCTAGGAACTGCCTCGTCAGCTCCTTTCATAATCCAATGCTGTTGGGGGGAAGAGCCTCCAACCACTTCATCGCGGAGTCCCCCAAGCTCATGGGAATCACTCGGCAGAGGACCCGTTGGTCTGAATGATACAGGGACATCATTTGCTTGTATTGCCTAAGGTGGGCTTCGGGATCGGACCGTCCATCGTAAGTTTTGAACCTCGGCACGATGAATTTTTTTGGAACATCCATCTCTGCGACATCCCTGGTAAAGGGTGATCACATGATCTCGTCTTCATCATCATCTTGGACAGCCTTATCCTTTCTCCTGGATTCCAATCGAGCTATGAGATCAACTTCCTCCCCAACGGGATGTCTTCTAAAGACTCCGAGTTCATCAATAGGTCCCCCATTTCCTGGATGACGTGTGGATAGGGTTGAATCCTTCTCAGACTCATCTCCTTTCCTCCGTCTTAACAATCCTCGCCGAAGGTTGTCCAGGGCTAAAGGCCTTACCTTCCTGAAATAGTCGTTAAGAGGGTGCTCGTTGGCTCTCGGTCGCTTTGGGGTCCTGTAGCTTTCTGCCTTGTTATTTAAATGATTCCTCAGATCCTTCGTTTCTGCCTCCCAGGCGGGGAGTCCACGAGAAAGAAATGAGTCCCCCGACCCTTCGACAGAGGCGGCGAATTCGTTGAGCTGGCTTAGGACGTTCACATTGTCTTTTTCCAACTGTCGTAATCGATCCCCAAACTTTTCTTCAATCACCTTCGCTAGTTGGCGAGCCAAGGGGGTGGTTCCTCCTAACCTGATGCCTATACTGGTCTGAGGAGTAAGCCCTCTTGACTGAATAGAGACATTTCTATTCCCATCAGTGTGATCCCTTCCTCCATCATGACATGAAGCTCGTAATTCAAGACTTATTTGCTGGGGACCTTTCCCTTTTTGTCGAGTATTCACCATGGTCTTTGTTCTTTATAGAGAAGAAACTAGAAAAACTAGTCGTTTCCCACAGACGGCGCCAGATTGTGCGTGCAGGATCTTGCACAATATAAATACAAGAACAGATCTCTCCCGTGGTGAACTCAAGTCAGTCAATTAAATGGTCAACCTTGCTATTGGGAACAGCTTGGAACGGTAATGGGTGACTTTCGTGGATCAAAGGAGCGGTCCGGTAAGGCTGAGGAGGTTCTTGGAACAGAGAAAGACAAGTTAGAAGGGCGCCGGAGTGTTTTTCGGCGTAACCCCTCCGACGATCAAGTCAGTTTTTGAGAGAGGAGAAGAAGAAAACACTGAGTATGGGTTTGAGAAAAAATTTTTTGTTGCATACCGTCTTGCCTTTAGTGAGGAGTATTTATACCTCAAAAACTCATGATTGCTGTCAGTGTGGTCAGTAGGTGATCATTAAATACGGGTAACGTGCACTGATTCCTATGAGGAAGGTCTTCTTTCTTAACTGCTCGGGACCCCGAGCAACCTATGCTGCGTCATCAGCCTGCCGAATGTTTAATGAGCTCCCCTCGGCAAGGATACAATAAATGCCCAGTCTTAGGGACATTTATTATCTTTCACTTTCGAGCCCTACTGCATTAAATGTTTGCTTTCCCAAGTCGTGTGTCAGCAAGGGCATCCGGTCTTTTTGTCTCTGATGTGACACAGTATGCTATGCGACCATTCTCCATTGGCTGTGTCTTCTGCCTTCTTGTGCCTTCTGACATCAATTGTGTAAGACGAGGTNCCCATTGGCTGTGTCTTCTGCCTTCCTGTGCCTTCTGACATCAATTGTGTAAGACGAGGTCATGATGACTAACCTAGCCTAGCCTAGGCTAGTGACCTGTACATCAATAGCCTTTGCAGGAGCAGAGAATGCCATGCTAGACGGGTACATCTCGGTACCGAGGGGAGTGGTACATATAGGGACCGATGTACCCCATATCCGACCGAGGGATACGTGTTGGTACGTAATGTACTGGGTGTCATTGACCCCTATGAACAGTACCTCGGGGGGATAGAGATTAGAGATCCGTCGGGTACGTGTCGTGATTACAATAACAAGATTTTACTGATGTCGAGGACACGTGTCTTAATCTTGGAATATCTGAAAATGTCCCATCAGTGGATAACTAAAAAGAAAAGCTTCACATGTTCGATTAAACCGCGATAAGCATGTAATGATGTATATGATGATCCATTGATGCATTCACTTAATCACTCAAAGACCCAAAAACGAAAACAAAAATAGCTGCAAAAACTCCTAAAGAAAAAACCCTGATCAAATAAAATAATAAAGAAATCGATCTTTTAGAAAATGCAATAGAATTCTGTTTGGAATTCTCTTTTTGATTAATCACAAAAATATAGGAATATAAACGATTACCATTCATAAAACATACATAAAAATTTCAATCAGATATCTAGTATACCATTATATGATAAGTGTTTGTGGGTTTGTTTGTGTGTGTGTGTGTTAGAGAGAGAGAGAGAGAGAGAGATTACTCAACAAGAGCTAGAGCCAGGGAATTGGACAGGACTCTTCCACCATCTCTTGAGGAGGTGGAATCACATGTTTCGCCTGAACGAGGTCGTCCGGCACAGACGCCGGAGGTGGATCCACCGGCACTACTGTTTCCATCTTCTTCGGCCGTTGATGTTCCTCTGCTGTCGCCATTCTTAAATCTCTCCCACATTTGCCAAATGAAATCTCACAAAACAGAGAACTACTACTTTCTAAATACTAGTAGCAACGGTCGGCTAAATTTAATTCTGGGAAAATCACACTTTTATCCCCCTTCACTATGACCCTAGTCTTATTTTGCCTCCTCAATTATTGAATTTCTCAAACTGTCCCCCAATTACTTGAATTCTTTCAGATTATCAGAAAATTATATGTCCATTATGTTTTTGACATAAAATATCTACATTTATAGTACCATCATAAATAAGCAAACAATATGAAAGAATCTCGTCTCCTCGAGAGCAAGGAGATTAAAATCTTTCTCATAAAAAAAGAGGGTGTCTGATTGTATTTTAATTCTCATATTCTTCTTTTAATGATCAAAATTATTTTTTAATTAATTGAAAATTACTATACTATAAAATGATGATTAAAATTCATCTAATTTTTTTTTCTAGCTTACTAGTCATGGCTGGTTAGATATGTAAAATTAGAAGTAAATAAATATGATACCGTGATCATAGAACTAGTATTTGTTAAAAGATTTTTTCAGTGTCACGGGTGAATAATTAATTTTTTCATCTTTTTTATTTTCTATTTTTTTTAAAAAAATTTAACATCAACCATTTTCATCTCTTAAATTTCATGCCAATATTTAACCAAATTACTACAACTATTTGGAAAGAGTAGGCTAGGCCAACTTGAGACAATCGAAAAGTTGGGGACCAACTTGCAAATTAGTATAAACTTTCAGGGATAAAAAACCAAAAAGAATAAATAAATGTGACAGGGGCATAAACGTCAATAAAACTGAACTTATGGTCGGTGCTTAGGGTTTTAAATTCTCACTTCACTCGCAGGTTCCAAAAACTTTGTTATGGACTCCTGCCCTCAAGTCCCTTCTTCGTCATCATCTTCGACGGCGTCGCCTTTGTCGTCGTCGGCGCCGGAGAAAGGATGGGGAGTGAAGGTATCAGAAGCAGTATTATCAGTATATAACTCTCTCCCAAAGAAAGGAAAGCCTCAGGGTCGTGAAGTCACCGTCATGGCCGCCTTTCTCATCTCTTCCCCTTCTCTAGGTCCCCTCTATTAACTCTGCCATGATTGAATTTTATTTCTTCAAAGTTGTGAAAAAGTATTTTCCATTTCGTTTCCAAGAAAGATTTAAAGAAAATGAAACAAATGAAATTGCACGAACTTCTCGCTCGCGTGAATATGAGTGGTGATTTGTTGTTTGGTTATGTATTCAGAGTTGCAAGTGGTTGCAATGGGAACGGGGACGAAATGCCTTGGGCGAACCCGTCGGAGTCCGCGAGGAGATGTTGTGAATGATTCTCATGCTGAAATTATAGCAAGAAGAGCTTTACTGAGGTTAAAAATTATTTCCTGATACTATATATATGAAGCACTGTGTTGTATAGAATGAACCGACTGACAGTATGACTAATTTGTTCGGCGAATTTCAGGGCATTTTGAAACGTATTGAATTCTTTTGCATTTTACAAGCAAGTAAATGAAAACACAGAGATTTTGTACAGAAGAAAAGAAAGGGAGAGAAAAGTGGCACTGGAGTGAGACACATGACAGGCTTATCTCCATAAAGGTCAAATAGAACAAGGTTCCGTCATGAAAAGACCACATCATAGTGAATATTGGTCAATGGCCCTAATCTTTTTGTGAAAAATTGTCTCCAACTTAGAAGAGGACTTATTTGAAAGTTCCTTATTCCTTAAAGTGGAAGCAAATGAAGTTCCCTTTTTTTTTTTTTTTTTGCGATTAGGAAGAGTTGTAGTTGAATTAAAATGCTTCTTGAAAAAAAAGCTGAAGATAAAGAAGGTAAATGTAATATCAATTGAAAGTAAGGAATTCTGCAATGACATTTGTCTATAAGAGTTTTTGTTTATATGCAGAGTTGATGTTTATGCACTTGTAGCTAAGTGTTGATGTATTTATATAGTGATTGTGTGTAACTGTTTATCACTTGCATCATGCTATGTGGATGAGATCCATATTGGTATCTTATTGCACATGAAGAGGTCTCCGTCCTCATTGGGTGCTGGCCTTTCCTTCCTTCTCTCTTTCCCTTGCTCTGAGATAGGTTTCTCTAATGGCACTGTAAGAAGGTTGGAATTTTCTTACAGCAAAATGGCTATTACATCAATCATATGTGCTCTCATCTAGTAAAATAAATTTTATCAAAAATCTATTGAATGAATTGTTTGGTTGAACCTAGTACAAACAATGTCAAGGGTCTTAAAAGGGCTCAGAAAATATAACACTCAATCTACATTCTCCCATGATGCATCTCATTTTCATTTGCTTTTAGAAACTTTATTTGTGTTTTTTTGCCTAACTTGCTTGAAGCTTATGTAAAGAAATTTATTCTCAATATCCCCTTTTAAAAACTGGGTTTAGCACTAATAATGCATATTGGAGATGTATAGTTACATGAATAATGCAAATACGAAGAATGAACTGTTGCTTAAAAAGTGATATAAGAACTTGCTTTCAATCCTTCCAGGTACTTCTACACAGAGATTCTATGTCTGACAAACGTCTGTTGTAACCAAAAACATGATAATGGAATTTTGCAATTGCAAGGTGATGATGCTACAAATTCGCTTTTCCGTTTAGATAGTGATGGTTCTGGCCAAGGAAAATACAAAATGAGGGCAGGCTGGCAATTACATTTATACATATCACAGTTGCCATGTAAGAACTATTGTTCGCATTGTCTCTTTATGCAGTTATTTAATATAGAGACTATGTTTTGGTTGTTGAATGACTGTGCCTTGTTTATTGTAGGCGGAGATGCCCCAGTTAGTTCACATCCATTTTCTTTGCAAAATAGTCATGTTAGAGAAAAGGATTCATGGTCCTCTACAAGCAATCTTGATAAATATGTTGACAAAATTTTAGAGTCTTCCATATGCAAGGAAGGTAATGATGGCGTTCAACTTGTTTTTCCTCTGTTTTTATTTTGAATTACGAACCTGGTGTTTTTTGTGTGTTAGCCAATTTTGCATTCCATGATGGTAGGATGTCATCAGTTTAATAGATGTTGTGTGTGGCCTTTATATGGCAGTCATTGAAATTCCAATGGGCTTAGAATGGCACAAGACCTGCAATTTTGCCTTTGATTTGTAGTATGATGATTTTTTATTCTTTTGCTTCCTTAAATGCTCTTTTATCATTTAATTGATACGAGTGACACCCAGTTGTCAAGCATTTCTCCCCCGAATTTGAGTTGGAGGACATTTGCTTCACGTGGATAAAGTAAAATAGTAGGTCCTTGCCTTCCAACATGGGATTGCAGGATCAACATTGGGTAATGGACTTTAAAAATGTTGTCTGAGAGAATATGTTAAATTGGAAATGAAGTTGGTTGATGGTAGTGAAATCCACACTTTACTCTTTTTTTTTTTTTGTTGGGAAAGAAATGTTGGTAGTCAGGCTTTATTTTATGTAGGAATTGAATGCAGGGGAGCTAGAATCTTGAATAATTAAGATGGTGACATTTATTTCTATGCCATATAAGAGAATAGTACTAAAGATTACCATGTTTCCTCCTGCCAAATGAACAGTATATACTTGCTATGGTGATTAGGGTACTTTCTGAAGTCATCCCCAAAATTGGCCCCAAAGAAGTTGAAGAGTTTGGTTAGCAAGGAATCCTCTTGAAGAAAGCAATGTATCCAAGACACATGAAAGAAGTGAAAGGGAGTCGAAGTTTAATTTTGCAATAAAAAACAAAGGTGGGAAAAGTTTTCTTTTTGCTTCTCCCTTTGAAGCATATGTGGAGCTACCTTTGGAAATGGATTGACAAGAGGATATTATTGGATCTAAGAATCCAAAAGATTAAGGTCAGAGGGTCAGAGAGTAAGTCAATAATTTATGATTCTTCAAAGAATTTGATGGAGAAAAAGTCTTAAGGGTAATCTAGTAAGCATCAACATAGTAATTGAAGTCCAGTGAGAAGCTTAAGCATCTAAGCTTTGAGCATCCCTGAGTTTGACCTTGGAATTTTGCTTATGCTCATAAATGAGGGTAATGAAATAGCCTTATGAATTTGCCAAGATTCCAAAATTCTTTACAATTGCTTGCGTAATAGTTGAATGTTTGGTGCCAAGTTTGAGGGCAGGGATTTTGATTCTAATTGGAGCCACTTTGCGTAAATTTTTCCCTAAAGTCTTAACCTTATCCAACCATCCAACCACTCTTGCCTAAGGAGACAACATTGGGTGATGGCATGTTGTCACATGGAGCTTCTTTAGCAAGTCCTGTACTTGTAAATGGAAAAGAACCTATTCTAGCAACTCTCTTGTTGATAACATTGTTAATGAAAAGGTTCTTTGCTTAGAAGTTGTATGGGTAATTTTTTCACTTTTGTTGCTACATATGTTTACTCATTTACTGTATATTTGTCCAATTTCTAAGTTGAATGGATATCTGTATAATATTTAATGCTAAAAACAATATAATAATTGTTAAATTATGTTTCATGGGTTGATTTTCTTGCATAAGAAACTGATAAAATCTGATTTGTTTCATCCATGAATATCAATTTAGCTGTGTGGGGTATTTATTTGAAAGTTTGTTTAGGTAATCGCTCAGAAGTCATTGGCACAGTTCAAAGGAAACCTGGTCGGGGTGATACAACTTTGTCAGTTAGCTGCTCAGATAAGATTGCCCGTTGGAATGTTGTCGGAGTTCAAGGTTCCTTGCCTGCTCCTGATTGAATTCAATTAGTAGTGTTTTCCTTAGTTAAAAACATACACTACATTGCCACCATATGAAAGAAGATTCTACACTGCTATTGTCAGTATGAGCAAGTTTATGCACTCTCCAATATGTGAACCCTTAATGATCATATAATGTTTATGCATCACTGTAGCCTCTTCCAATTACCTTTATTTTACATGAACCGATGCCTATACAGTGGTTGGTAGTGAATGCTGAATGATATAGCCTGGTTATTCACATAAAATCATTCATTTGTAAAATCAAAAGTTCTAATTGCAACTACAAAATCTGTCACTTTCCATTTCTTTTACTTTATAAAGTCTACAGATATATAAGCCTTAGTGACACCAGAATTTTGCTTGCATGTCAAATTTCTAACTTGTGGAGCTAGTTTAGTTCATTGTAGGAAGGGAAGCTAATTGTGGCACCTTCTGTCCACATAATGAGGTTTTCTCGTTGGTTATAATGCACTTATTTTTGTATTTATGAAAAGTTATAGAAAGATTGGAAAGATGAAGTCTATGTGAAAAGTTTTGCGCACATCAGATTTATTGCTTCTCTATTGAAATTGGGGGGTGTGCATGTGTGTGGCAATGATTGTTTGGATCTGAAATTCTGACAGTAGAGCTAATTCTTTCTGATATTTCATAACTGGTTGAGTCATTGACAACGTATACTTCCCCTTCTTATTGTAGGAGCTTTGCTTTTTCACTTTCTTCAACCAGTTTACCTTTCTTCCATAGCTGTTGGACAATCCTGTTATGATTCTGAAAATTATTTGATCGAAGATCACTTGAGAAGGACTTTATATGATAGGGTCCTACCTTTGTCAAGCAAGCTAATGGATCCCTTTAAAGTGAATAAGGTGGTATTGTTCATAATATGAAATTTTCTTTGCAGCAATTTTGTATATTATCAACATGGGCAAATGAAGAGGTTGTGATAATATTCATATTCTGTGACAGCAGCCACTTTTTTGCATAGCTCCGATACCGCCAAAGGAGTTTCAGCATTCTGAGACTGCACTGGACACTTTAACCTGCGGGTAGGATGACTTAGCTTGACTAGTTCTTGGGAAAGGAAATCATGGGAGACTCATTTTTTTTTGTCTTGAATGCTTCATCCATAGTTTACAGGTATTCAATATGCTGGAATAAGTCTGGTTTGCACGAAGTCATTCTGGGAACCACTGGCAGAAAGCAGGGAACCTCTGCAAAAGGGGCAATGTACCCTTCTACAGAGTCATCTTTATGCAAGTAAGCTAGCAAAATATTACTTGGATAAGGTGTAGAACAATTTGTCACATTCTGGTCGCAGTTTGTAATTCGTTTGTCTTAATTTATTTGCTGTAGCCGTAGGCACCATGATTTTTGCTAATGAATATTTCAACATTAATATCGTCTCAGGAAGCGATTATTGGAGGTGTTCTTGTTACTGGTGCAGGAGTGCTTGGTCAATTGCTCAGCCGGTGAGATTTCTTATAGAGAACTTAAGGTAATCTACGACACTGGGTACAGCAATGTAGATATTTGTAAGGATTCTACTAGCTCTATTACACTTGTGTGTTTCATTGAAGTTACATGATGTGATAATGGGATCAAACATATTAAAAAAAAAGAAAAAGATAATGCGATCAAACATGTAATGGGTTGAATTGATGGTTATATTTTAAATGGAGACAAGCAAAATTACAAACACATTGTAAGTGATCAAGTGTTTATATATAAAGATGCATCTGAGGTTGTATTAAATTTAGTAAAACCCAAGGTAATACATTTTATGAAATATCTGGAAAACCTAATTTATGTGGCAGCAATCATTATTTTTGCTTGGGATCAACCTTCTAGGATATCCTCTTCCCAGAATCCTCATGGGAAATTGAGATCCATTTGGTCCTCCTGCGGATTCAGTCGCGTTGTTTCATTTTTCATACAAACTTTTAATGTCGTGATCCTCAAGGTAAAGGCTACCAAATCCTCAGGTCAGCTGGAATATGGATCTCCATGGTGTTAGGGGGTTTTCCAATTCACCACATACATCGTGAGAATACCCCTTAGCGCAACTACAATCTTTAGCCATCATGCCCAACAGAAAAAGACAGCTATCGATGTATAGCTTCATTAAATGTCTTTTTAACTTCACTTGCATTTCACAGTTGTAATTTATTATGGTTGTTTGTGGTCTCCAATTTGTTATGCTTCCGGTTTCTATTTTCCAATTTCCAGTAACCGCTAATCACCTGGTTACATATTCTGCTGTCAACAAGTGAATTATGTTTTTGGCAAAATATCGTTATGATAGTACTTAAGCTAATTGCACGGGTTGGTGGAGGGAGTTGGGAGGAGTAGATGTGGTGCGTACCAAATTTTTGGCATTCCTTATAAAATTAATTGGATAAAGTTACTACTTACTACTAATAAAAAATTCCTTTATACTTGCAAAAAAAGACTTATTGCTCAATAGCGACTCCACAACATCTGAAAAAATGACCTTACTAGTTGCACCTCCTAGTCAAGTTTACTACACTTGGAAAAGCTCCTATAATCCATCATTAAAGCTTCTTTATTGTACAGCATTTTGTTGAGTCGATATATATGCCCTTCGAAGCAAATTCTCACCCTTTTCATACCAAAATAAGATCTATGCAGTGTGATTCGATTGCTCATTATCTCCAACAAAGTTTTTTTTTTTTTTATCTGGCATTGGATCTAATTACCATTTAAGAACCCTACTGTTTTAGGTTTCGTTCCTTTGAGAATTGAGAAAGTTAAATTTTGGAGGTCGCAAGAATTTGGAATGATGTATTAGTTTGGTTTAAGCCATGTGAAAACAGTGATATAATATAGCTTTGTTGCATCATTTAATTGTTCAAGGCTGAAGTCATATAAAAAATAGTGCTGTGACCAAATTAAGGAGTTTGAGCTACTTAACTGGCAGATGTAGTTAAATAATAGGATATCACCTTGCTGTAAAATTTTTCTTCCCCTCTTCTTGTTTATATGTGGACCATAGGAAAATTACCTGCTTACTGGAGCAGACGTGATCAGTTGTATACTAAAACAAAGATATTGATTGGTAAATAAATGGTTGGGAATGGTGAGCTTTATTTTTTCTCTCCTTGTTTGAATCTTTCATTTCTTTTGCAGGAACGAGCAAAAGAATACAGTTCAACTTCCAAGACCTTTAAAGGAAGTCCCCATTTTGGAAACTGGTTTGTGAAACCTCTAAACTTTGAGGCCTTCTCACATGAGGGACAATGAGGTGAGATATAGATTGTTCTAATTTACCTGATCTTCTATTCTTTATTCTGTAGTAATGGTCATTAGGACTACATACACTATTGTTGGTGGAAGAAAACCTATAAAAGTGATAAAGCTGACATCTAGAATTGAATTAATAATGAAGAAAGCGGGAAAAAAAATCCACGGCTGATACTATTATAATATTTTTTTTGATAGTAAACAAACTTTTTTTTGATAGGTACAGTAAAGTGACATTATCCATGCAAAGATGGACAAGTCTTCCAGCCCCATAAAGTACAATATCTGAAGAACAACAGTAAGAAAACACTAAACCACAGGCCATCATCTAAAAACTCGCACTATCTTCCACATGAGACTATCCAACTTGATGTTATACAAATTGTGACTTTACGATTCTTGACGATATGAATCAACAGCGAGTTGGTAGAGGCCCACAGCAGTCATACATGCTGTGCAGGTTCTAAAAATTTTTTTATTCTCTAGCAATGCCGCGGATTCCCAATGGTTGGTGTTTTGTGAAACCCCAGAACCAGTTTGCTGAGGCCTCAAAAGTTACCTAACCGGATCAAAATTCAATAATACCTTGTTTAATATGAATTTTTGCCCATCCTACATAGTATTGCGTGGTATTTACNTATTCTCTAGCAATGCCGCGGATTCCCAATGGTTGGTGTTCTGTGAAACCCCAGAACCAGTTTGCTGAGGCCTCAAAAGTTACCTAACCGGATCAAAATTCAACAATACCTTGTTTAATATGAATTTTTGCCCATCCTACATAGTATTGCGTGGTATTTACGCTGGCATTAGAGTCAATGCAAATTTTGCTGAAGTCTGTTTCATTTCATTATCTGTCGTGGATAATTATCTAGATGGACCTAACTTGGCCAATACTTCAATTTGACTTTGCAGATGGAAGACTTGAACGTGAAAGATGGTTTTGACTGCGGAATATGGAAAATAGGTGGGTTTTGAAAGAACTTTTTGTAAGGATAGATTGGATTGCAATAGGGCTCTCATTTTCTCTAACAACTGTTACATTAAGTGTTGTATATGAGAACGAAGAGCAGTCGACCTTGTAGCTGTTCAGGCTTGACTTGGGTTTAATTCTCACTGCTGTTATTGGTCGTTTTTCCTCGTCTACCTTACCTGTAGAATGATTAGGGGGAATATGTGGAAAGTGCGCTTTTCGTAGTGTGGGTAAATATAAATAGAAAGAGTTACCTTAGTTAAAAATGTAATGAATAATTAGATTTAAACGACCTGGATTGTTAGCGTTTTTTCAACCTAGGAAAGAATTTTAGATTACCTTCTATTTTACTATTATAGATATTTATTGTTTACACTCAGCCTCTGGAAAAAGGCATTTGTTTGGACATTTCTGACTATTGATCCCCCCGGGGGGGGGGGGGGGGGGGNATAATTTCATGCCCGAAGCACTTGTAATTCGTGTGTTTTAATTTATGACAAAAAAATAGAATGACAATTTGGGTGAGGTTTACATTGTTACCAATTCACAATATTGAGGGTGTTGATTACTTTTTTGGGCTCGATCATCATAACTTGAACGAGTTTAGAACACGTCTTTTGATAAACAAGGGTGACCGACTCTTAGAAGACATGAGAAGTGTTGAATTTGAGATTTCTAAATTATCAGAAGTTAAACTCGATCATTAAATCACTCAAAAGAGTTAGGGTTACGGTGCCTATGAGTTAAGTAGTGTTGATAATTCCCTATTTGATCTGTCAATCCAATAAAAAAAATCAACGCCAAACTAAATAATTGCTGCGAGTTTAGCTTTGAAAGAAGTTAGGCACGCCAAACTAAATAATTAATGTCATACAAACACTAGCCGTGCTATAATTAAAGGTTGGGTCTCTTGCCAATTAAAAAGCTAATGACATACAAAAACTTGTTAAACCTCTCCAATAAATCAATTTTTTTAGCCTTAATTGAGTTACACAAACTCAGTTAAACAAGATATAAACCCGACTAAATATGATTTATAGAGGATTTTTTTTTTTTAAATTGACATGATATAAAATCAAGCGTATAAATTTAATCGCAATACAATATAAATGGAAATTGATAGGAATAACCCCGTGTGAATTAGTTGGGTAAAGCAGCCTTGCCCTCTCAAATGCTTGGAAAGTGTCACCTATGTCTATGAATTGGGGTGGCCGAAGTCATTGACCACCACTATTTATAATGACTTGGACTTAAAAGACTCCATGAAAAGTCCATTAATGAACATTTCCACAGCAAATAAGCAGCAAATTGCGGCAACCCAACGTGAACAATCCCTTAGAAAGAAGCCAACACAACATGTTCCTCGTTCAAACTGAAACTGAAACTGATAGAGAGAGAGAGAGAGAAGGCACACATACATGAGAGGGAATGTTCTCTCTCTCTATCTCTAATGTGGAACTAAAAACTTCAAAGTGGAAGCGAAATGAAAAAAAAAAAAACCCANTATACTTAATGTTATGAATTTGTAGTAATGTGGATTTGATCTATATTATTGTTTAATTTTTTTTTTAATCATAAATTAAAGCACGTGTGGTGCAAGTACTTCACACATAAGGATATCCACCGTCGTAGATTTTCATTGGTGATTAATTTGACACCATTTTTGGTATTGAAAATAATGTTTTATTAATTAGATAGAGATTAATTTTATCACGTGTAATTCACATGAGGCGTCAATAATATGTGAATTTATATATAATTTCATGCCCGAAGCACTTGTAATTCGTGTGTTTTAATTTATGACAAAAAAATAGAATGACAATTTGGGTGAGGTTTACATTGTTACCAATTCACAATATTGAGGGTGTTGATTACTTTTTTGGGCTCGATCATCATAACTTGAACGAGTTTAGAACACGTCTTTTGATAAACAAGGGTGACCGACTCTTAGAAGACATGAGAAGTGTTGAATTTGAGATTTCTAAATTATCAGAAGTTAAACTCGATCATTAAATCACTCAAAAGAGTTAGGGTTACGGTGCCTATGAGTTAAGTAGTGTTGATAATTCCCTATTTGATCTGTCAATCCAATAAAAAAAATCAACGCCAAACTAAATAATTGCTGCGAGTTTAGCTTTGAAAGAAGTTAGGCACGCCAAACTAAATAATTAATGTCATACAAACACTAGCCGTGCTATAATTAAAGGTTGGGTCTCTTGCCAATTAAAAAGCTAATGACATACAAAAACTTGTTAAACCTCTCCAATAAATCAATTTTTTTAGCCTTAATTGAGTTACACAAACTCAGTTAAACAAGATATAAACCCGACTAAATATGATTTATAGAGGATTTTTTTTTTTTAAATTGACATGATATAAAATCAAGCGTATAAATTTAATCGCAATACAATATAAATGGAAATTGATAGGAATAACCCCGTGTGAATTAGTTGGGTAAAGCAGCCTTGCCCTCTCAAATGCTTGGAAAGTGTCACCTATGTCTATGAATTGGGGTGGCCGAAGTCATTGACCACCACTATTTATAATGACTTGGACTTAAAAGACTCCATGAAAAGTCCATTAATGAACATTTCCACAGCAAATAAGCAGCAAATTGCGGCAACCCAACGTGAACAATCCCTTAGAAAGAAGCCAACACAACATGTTCCTCGTTCAAACTGAAACTGAAACTGATAGAGAGAGAGAGAGAGAGAGAAAGAGAGAGAGAGAGAGAGAAGGCACACATACATGAGAGGGAATGTTCTCTCTCTCTCTCTCTCTCTATCTCTAATGTGGAACTAAAAACTTCAAAGTGGAAGCGAAATGAAAAAAAAAAACCCATCACAATAATCAAAACTTTAGGTGATCGAATATGAAATTACATAAAATTTGTGGTGAAAATTTTAATTTTTGAGACTTGAGAGCCATCTCTGAGGGCATAACCTAGTCTTTCCCTATCTGTTATTTTTTTTTTCAGTTTAACGACCAAAAATATTCAAACTAATTTAACATGTACTTGACATATATAANATAAAATTTGTGGTGAAAATTTTAATTTTTGAGACTTGAGAGCCATCTCTGAGGGCATAACCTAGTCTTTCCCTATCTATTATTTTTTTTTTCAGTTTAACGACCAAAAATATTCAAACTAATTTAACATGTACTTGACATATATAATTTTTCATCTAACANGGTGCCTATGAGTTAAGTAGTGTTGATAATTCCCTATTTGATCTGTCAATCCAATAAAAAAAATCAACGCCAAACTAAATAATTGCTGCGAGTTTAGCTTTGAAAGAAGTTAGGCACGCCAAACTAAATAATTAATGTCATACAAACACTAGCCGTGCTATAATTAAAGGTTGGGTCTCTTGCCAATTAAAAAGCTAATGACATACAAAAACTTGTTAAACCTCTCCAATAAATCAATTTTTTTAGCCTTAATTGAGTTACACAAACTCAGTTAAACAAGATATAAACCCGACTAAATATGATTTATAGAGGATTTTTTTTTTTTAAATTGACATGATATAAAATCAAGCGTATAAATTTAATCGCAATACAATATAAATGGAAATTGATAGGAATAACCCCGTGTGAATTAGTTGGGTAAAGCAGCCTTGCCCTCTCAAATGCTTGGAAAGTGTCACCTATGTCTATGAATTGGGGTGGCCGAAGTCATTGACCACCACTATTTATAATGACTTGGACTTAAAAGACTCCATGAAAAGTCCATTAATGAACATTTCCACAGCAAATAAGCAGCAAATTGCGGCAACCCAACGTGAACAATCCCTTAGAAAGAAGCCAACACAACATGTTCCTCGTTCAAACTGAAACTGAAACTGATAGAGAGAGAGAGAGAGAAGGCACACATACATGAGAGGGAATGTTCTCTCTCTCTATCTCTAATGTGGAACTAAAAACTTCAAAGTGGAAGCGAAATGAAAAAAAAAAAAACCCATCACAATAATCAAAACTTTAGGTGATCGAATATGAAATTACATAAAATTTGTGGTGAAAATTTTAATTTTTGAGACTTGAGAGCCATCTCTGAGGGCATAACCTAGTCTTTCCCTATCTGTTATTTTTTTTTTCAGTTTAACGACCAAAAATATTCAAACTAATTTAACATGTACTTGACATATATAATTTTTCATCTAACATGCACCAATAAATTGCTGACATAAATAGGTGAGTCTAATTCTCACAAAACCAGAACTTAGTACCTAACAGTCTCAACGAATTGTCAGAGACTCGGAGGAGCTCCTAGGAATAGAAAGTCCTCTCTTTCTCTGTTATAGCATTTAAAAAAATTCCTCAGTTGAGCTTGTCCTCTCCGCGACCAGAGAAGCTGCTAAAATCATGAAAAAATACAACGAAAGATTAGCAAATATCTTCTGGCTCCGGCCTGCATTTCAGAAGAACTCTATGGGAAGCGGATGGCGATCATTCATGAAGAAGAAATCCACCTCGAAGACTAGTGTTCTTCTGTTCTTCCTCTTTCTTGCCATATTACTTGTTGCTCACTGGTTTGACCTTGTAAGTCCTTATGCAACCCTTTATAACATAAATTCCATGCATTCTTCGGTCCCTTCTTTTCTTTTTGTCTTTCTCATTTCATTTTCTTCTGCCTGTACTAGTGATATCCCGCACAATACACTGCAAAATGGCGTAATAAAGAAAAACAATGAATATTTAGAACTTTTCTAATCATTTTCTTATCTTGAAGTAGCAATTTTAGAAATTTTAATCCTTTTTCCTGGGTTCCATGCATTGTTTTTTCTTATTTTGAAAAGTCGTAAGGCTAACCACAATACCACACATACAACAAGTCTAGAAAAGATAAGTGATAGAAAATGACCTCCTCATTTTAGAGGGGGTAATTCTTGGATTTTTCCCCCATAGTTTTCAGTCTCGAACAAAGCTCAACCAAGTTCATGCATGGTCAAGTTTTTCTATAGAATCTTGCATTAAACCATTGTAAGGTCTTTGAGATCAAACACCTATCCTTTATAATTTTTTTTTAAATTTTTACATATGAAAATACACGCCCTCAAAATATTAGGACAAATAATAATAATACATTAATGTTACACTGATAAAAAAAAGGGACCAAATGATATGATATTACAATGGTGAGTGTAGTGTTACTCATAATAGTTAGGATTTGTAATTAATTTAGTTTTTGTTAAGTGTTCCTACATTAATTTTTCATAGTTAGTTAATAATTTTGAGTAGATTCCCTTTAATGGGATATCTACTATCATTAAAATTCCAAACTCTCTTTTTT